GAAAGAAAGAAAGAAAGAAAGAAAGAAAGAAAGAAAGAAAGAAAGAAAGAAAGAAAGAAAGAAAGAAAGAAAGAAAGAAAGAAATGAAGAGCAAGATATGAAGAGCAGGGGAGGGATGGCTCTTCCAAACTGGGAGTTGTACTATAGTGTGGCTTCCTTAGTATGGTTGAAGGAATGGGTGAACTTAACAAACAAGAGAATATTAGTTTTAGAAGGCCACGACTTACAGAGGGGGTGGCATGCTTTTTTAATGGGACATTGGGAAAACCACCCAGAAATACTTTCACAGACATCTAATTAGAGATGCATTATTGACTAATTGGAAGAAAATAAGGAAAAAACATTATTTAAAGATACCAATCTGGATTTCAATAATGGAAGCGATGATCCACCCAAATAATCTGGACATTACTAAGATGATTAAATACAAGGATTTATTGGATGCGCAAGGAAATTTGAGATTGTGGCAAGATCTTCAGGACCAAGGAGTACAAATTGATAGATGGGCATATCTTCAAGTTCAGAGTAGATACAAACAGGATAAGAAAGAATTTGGAATCAATAATAAACTTCAGCAACTAGATAAAATTCTATTAGGCACAGATAAAAAAATATAACAAAATTTTATAATTATTTACTAGAGGCAGAATTAGAGGAAGAAATTGTCAAAGGGAATATGATAGCCTGGAGTAGACGTAGTATCACCTTAATAGAATGGGAGAAGGTCTGGAGTAGAAATAATAAAATCACAAAATCAACAGCCTACAAGGAAAATGCCTATAAAATGTTTTACAGATGGCACCTTCCCCCCTCGAGATTAGCGAAGATGCACCCCAACATGAGTCCAAATTGCTGGAAATGCAAAAAAAGGAGGCAACATTCTTCCATATGTGGTGGTCTTGTACAGAGGCTCAAAAATATTGGCAGAAAATTAGAAAATGGTTGGAGGAAATGTCAATAGAACAGATCGAATTCAAACCAGAACTCTTTCTATTAGGGATCTTTAATAAACAATTCCCCCAAAAAGTGAAGTATACAATAGTACATATTTTGACAGCGGCCAGACTGGCCTTTGCACAATGTTGGAAACAACCTCATATCCTATCGGAGGAAATGATTATTCAAAAAATATCAAGTTGTGCAGAGATGGACAAATTAACTTTGGTATTAAAAGGGAAAGACACATCAATGTATTAACAACAGCTGGAACTGCTGGTACGAATGGATAGATCAAAGATCGATTAAACAATAAAGGGCAAAAGAAGATATGTTATAATTGTAGTAGTGACTATATATATATTCGCACAAGGATTAATTGTACAGAGGGCATAAAATAAAGTTGAAAATAAGGTCCTACAAACTGTCAAGGATGGAACTGTTTTTAATTGTTTTCTGATTTTTCTTTCTACTTTTCTTTCTTGTTTCCCTTTTCTGTCTCACAATTATGTACGTGTTGTTTGTCTATTTTAATTGTAAAATTAATAAAGTTTATTTTTTAAAAAAAAGAAGAAAGAAAGAAAAGCTCAGCAAAGAGCAAAGGGTTGTAAAAGATGTATTTATATTCTAGTACCTGTACTAAAAAGGGCATTTCTACAAATGCTCAGACTATGGAAAAACTATTGCACATTCTAATAAAATAGTGCTCACTGTTTTGTAATTGTTTTGTTCATGGTATGAGAACTAGCAGATATATGTGCTGGATTCTGAAGAGCTAAGGACACCCGAGAGCCCATTGCTAACATCCATGGATAATGAGAAACACAAGGCAGATCAAAGAAGATGTCACTTTTTGCTTTATTGATTATACTAAGGCTTTTGACGATGTAAACCAGAACAAATTGTGAATAGTTCTTTTTAAAAAATGGATGAGCCACCTCATCTGTCTTTTGAAGAAATTGTACAATGACCAGAAAGCAACAATTAGAAATGAATATGGAGAAACTGAATTGTTCAGAATTAGGCAAGAGTGTATAATGATATTTATTTAATGTACATGCAGAATATATCATAAGAAATACAAGCCTGAGGTCCCTGTTTATTACAGCCTCTAGAACTTAGAATTTATTTGAAACTCTAATGTAGCAAGAACTTAGGAAATTAGAGAAAAAGCAGGAGGAAGAAGTATTATGTATGTTTGTCACCTTGAGTTATTTTTTAAAGCAGCACATGCATACATATATGTTTTTTTTCATATAATTCTATTTTCCTTTCTATGTAAAATATATCCAGGAAGTAATTTACTGCTTTATACAAAATAACTAACATGAATCTCTTGTCTGCAGTAGTGCTTTCTATGTTCCAGGCTCAAAACATCTTTTCTGATTGTTAAATCTAATTTGGGTAACTACCTTCCTTCAGCTTTTTTTTTTAATTTGTACCTTCCAACTACTTTTTAGCTGTGGGATGTAATACCTATTATACAACTTTATAAAAAAGACGGAATCAGGAGCATGGTTTGTACAATGTGGTTACCTTGTAATTATAAGGCCAAGAGGCCATTTATCTTTTATTCACATAACCAACCCTTACTAGTGGCAATAGTCTTTTTGCAATCTGCAATAAATTCACTGTCTCCATTGGTCAAACTTTTCCTAGGCTACTTGACAATTTAGCCTTCTCTTATAGAGGTACTCTTTACTGCTATTTGAGTTTCCTCTTGCTACTAATTTTTCTCATCAAACTAACATAGACCTTGCAAAGCTTTCATATTCCATTCATGCAAAAAGGAATGTTTATGATAATCTGGTGTATTGAAATAATTTATAGTATTATGGTACTATGATAACCAACAGGATGCCTCATTAACATATGGCCATCATGGAGTCTCTTTACCATTTCTTTCAGATTTTCCATATTTTGCTGTTGAAATATGGTATTTATTGTCTTTTTAACCCAGTTAGAAGCAACTGGATGTGCTATATGTAGGACACCTATTTTATTCAAACCCCATCTAGATCCCAACAAGATTACCAAGTCAAACGTTTTGTCAAAATCTTCTCAAGTGATATTACTGTACAGTGCTGCCTCATAGATTTTAAAAAATAAGATTACAGTTATGTCTGATCATTAAAAATTTCCTCATACTGTAATATAGTAAAATAAAGCCTGAATGCTTGGTGCTGGACATACAGAATCTATTCTTGGTTCATAGTTCAGGTTTCCTCATTTCAGTCGTGTTTGTTTGCCCATTCATTAATAATAGCCCACTGTTTATTCTGTTTCCTTATTTTTGTTAAATATCACTTCCCTAGATCTTATTTGGACTTTTGAACCACAGGAGTAAAATTAAATAAGGAAGAGTGTTTTTTTTCCTCAAGAAAAGTTGCTTATGGTACTGGCTGAGACATTCTGTTATAACAGTTGTGTTGGCCTCGAATCTCAATTTTAGATGGTGACCTTTATGCATTGTTTACTGTGCAGCATGAGGGGATCTTCCTATAACATTACCATTTTCCTATATCCCAAACAGATGTCAAACTGCACAGCTAGCAATAATTTTTCTGCTTCCTGTGGCTGTATTTTTTAGCATTCCCATTTGGGGACAGTAATCCAAGCAGTTTCCAGGACTTCCTGTGCTGCCTACATTTTTCCATTCCACATCTGTGCAGTGGCTTCAACTATCGCTTACAGAAATATATTGAGTATAAGTGAGGTAACCATTCCAGTGGAATGCATATTTCCCAAATACATTCAAAATTATCTCTGGATACGGGACACTTGAAATATCAGTCATGAAAGCATATTGCTTCTAATAAAAAATGTGCTATTCCAAATATTTGGTAGGTGTATAGATCAGTCACGCTTAACTATCCATTAGGTATAGCTTTACACATGCTGAGTGCATTTCATGGATTTTTTTTTTAGTGAAGCATCTTCTGTCTGAAACCATGACATGTTTCAGGAAGGGAAAGATACCAATTATTTTGAATTGTGCTTGGTGGGCAGACGGTATCTACTTTTATATACTAATACGAAACTATGATATATATTACAGCAAAGTAATACTAAAAATGTTGGTAGACACACTGAAACTTAGAATTCTGTCAATTTCACAGCACACTGGGAAAAATGCTATGTATCCTCCAGCTTTAGTAGAATAATATGTACATGTATCAACTCAATGGCAAGGCTCTTCATTTCTTTGCTAGTATGCTTCATTGCTTCCCAAATCTTGAAATGTGTGCCTTAAAATGATTCACCCTTACTGGATCTTGTTTTCAGTGCGTGTTCATTTACTTTTGCAGTCTCTATCTTAAGTATTCTCATCTAGTGTAACGTCTGCAACAGTAGAAAAACATGGAAAGAGACTTCAGTGAGAATGACTCAGTGTAAACAAAATTGATATCTTGTCATTCCTTTTTATGGTTTATCAATATTTTATTATATTTGTCTTGTTGTCTTCCAGGTTATCGAAGGGAAGCTGGCCCCTTTCCTTGGGAAAGTAATAAAATTTGCTACCTCCCATGTTTACAGCTGCAGCCTTTGTAGTCAAAAAGGATTCATCTGTGAGATCTGTAATAATGGTGAAATTCTGTATCCCTTTGAGGACAGTTCTACAAGCAGGTTAGAATTTATGATTTTTTAGTTATATGACATATTATTACTAGAGGTCCATAGAAAAATACAACAGAATAACTGAACTGTGGAAGAACCACGCTCATGCTATTGGCTACCTAAAAAATCAATAGTGTGTGAATAACCTACTTTTGGATATGAATATAGCGGAAAATGGTGATTTGGGCACTGAAAACACTTATATAAGTAATAACAGGGCAAGAGCTGGATTAACTGGAAAAGTGATTCCTCGTAAAACCTTTAAAAAAGCATGTTCTAAGGTTTCAACTTCATCAGAAAGCACAGGAGTATTGTCTCTGTAAATGTGTAGACTGGCTATATCTATGGTTCATGATTCCAGAGAGAAGGAAATTGAAAAATGCCATGGAGAAGGCCCATTCTTTCTAAAGTAGGAGATAGGATAACTTGTACAGGTATTGTGCAGGTTGTAGTTCCCTGGATTTGTTGTAAAGTTGGTACAGCTTTAGGGCAGCTGCAAGATTATAACTGCTCTTTGTCTGATGGCACTAAGAAGCACTTGAGCAATAGGCACTTCTTCATATGCCCACGTTATCACTATGACATGAGCTGTATTGATTACCAGTTAGTTTCCAGCTGTAAACCAGGTGCTGTTTATTACCTATAAAGCCCTTTGTGACATAGGGTCCAGCCTCTCATAAAATGTTTCTGCCTATCTAGTAGGTTCCAGCAGAATGGGTGATTTCGAGGTTCCCGCAGTTAAAACACTTTCATCTTATGGGGCCAAAAAGCATGCTTTCTCTGTTGCAGGCCCTGCTATCTGGAAGGACCTTTCCTCAACCCTTCCCCTGGATAATCCTTGACTTAATGACCATAAATGAGCTCAAAATTTCCATTGTTAAGCAACACAGTTAAGTGAATTTTGCCCATGTTATGAGTGTGTTCCTGCCACACTTGTTAAGTGAATCATTGTAACATAGTTGTTAAGTGAATCTGGCTTCCCCATTGCCTCTGCTTGACAGAAGGTCACAAAAGGTAGCTCCATGACCCTAGGGCACTGCACTCATCATAAATACATGCCAAGCATCCAAATTTTGATCATGTGATTATGGGGATGCTGCAATAGTCGTAAATGTGGAAAAAATGGTCATAGGTCACTTTTTTAATGTTGTAACTTGGAACAATCACTAAGTAAATGGTTGTAAATTGAGGATTACCTATATAGTGCCCTCTTTCCTTAGTTAAGGAGCCTGGCTGTTAAGGTGTTTGTATCCTATTTTCTGATTGTTCTGATTGCTTTTTAGTCTGCTGTGTTTTGTAATTATCTTCTTAATTGTTTTAATTCTATAACTGAGTGTTGTAAGCTGCCCAGAGTCTTACAGAGAGGTGACCTTTAATCATTTTAAACCATCATCAAATTTTCAGTGGCATATGTTAGTGCAAAATAAGTTCAATTATTCATCTCTAAACCATGAAACCCCCATAAAATTATTTTTAAAATGCTTCCCTCCCATATGCCCTGTACCCTGAAGCCCCTTGTTTTTTAATTAAATGTGTGGCGCTAATCACAGAATGGTTGTCTGCATAACTGGAATACGGGTAGCCCAAGCCAAGGTATAGTGAGATTAATGAGCACAAATCTTTTAGTTCTACGCCATGGTGGCATAGTGATTAAAATGCAGTACTTCAGGCTACTACTACTGCTGACTGCCAGCTGACTGCAATTTGGCAGTTCAAATCTCACCAGGCTTAAGGTTGACTCAGCCTTCCATCCTTTCGAGGTCAATAAAATGAGGATCCAGATTGTTGAGGGCAATATGCTGACTCTGTAAAACTGCTTAGAGAGGGTTTATATACCGCACTGTGAAGCGGTATGTAAATCTATTGCTACTTTCTGTTAGTTCCTTGATTTTTTTTCTGTTTTTTTTTTCAAGTGTTAAAACCTAGACGTACGTTAAATAAGGTATATAGTGCCCCTATATGAATACTCCATCCAAACAAGAGCACTTGCTAAACAGTTTCTCTCATTCTTTCACTGTGAATAAGAAGGCCTGAAAACAGCCTGCATAAAACAAGGCATCTATAGGATGTTGATGAAGTTTCCTGTCCAAACCAGGAATTGACTTGATTTCTGTGGTTATTGCTAGTGCTATGATTTTATGATTTAAATGTCTGAAGACCATAGGAATGGTCTTATTACAACAGGACAAAGGTTCATCTAGTTCAGCATTCTTTGGGGAAATTCCAGTAGTAAGATGTGAAAGCAACTGTGCCTTCCTCCTCATGTTCCTCAACACGCTACCCATTGACCCAAAGGTAAATAAATGCTATTGCTTCCTGATCATTCTGAGTGGGTAGTCTATAAATGTGATAGATAGATAGATAGATAGATAGATAGATAGATAGATAGATAGATAGATAGATAGA